AACATAATATAAATTCTAAATTTGCGATCTTTCCGCTTCTGTTTTTTGAAATTATTTAATATATTTTTTTAACAAAATGTTTATGGTTTTGACTTAAATCAACTGTTTGATTTTAAAATTAATACTATTCTTTAGTCTGCATTGTGAGCGAATAAAAAGGCTTTAAAATTAGATCAAATAAAAACAATGAAATCTTTGCTTTTTAATTTATCACCTACGTCCAAAATTAATGTCTTAATTACTCTGATAATCTGGTTAAAAATGTAACTGATGTAAAATGTAACTTTGTAACTGATGCTCTGCTATATAAATATCAATTTTTATAACTGATACCTAAGAAATGGTACTTACTCATCTCTACTTTATAGCTTCTGACATTACTACTCTTTTAAACTAAGGTAAACAACGTTTAAGAGCACAAAAAATACTCAGCTCTTCATTTTTGTGCTCTTAACCGTTGTTTACCTTAGTTTGTATTTTAGCACAAAGGTCGCCCACTTGTGTATTTATTACTACTCTTTGTTTATGTGTACAAAAATGTCTACCCATTTTTGAGAATTTATTTCTAAACCATTAAATAGTACCAAAGCAAATTAATTATTTTCCCCATATTGAGTGTGTGCATAATATCTGTAAAGTATAAAATTTGCATTAAAAATAAAATTTGTTTGCTTTATAAAAGTATTCTATTTTTTACTAGCTCTGCATTTTATATACTTCGTTTTCTGTTTTTTTTTCTCCACTAATTAATTACCTGGTGTATCACTGCAACTGCTTAATGAGATAGTTTCATAAGTAACAATGGCAGCAAAAGTTAAAAGATCCAATAGAAGTGATCTGTTTTTGAATCAAATTAATCACTACTTTTTTTCTTCTCTGACACAGCTTACTGAGATAGTTTCATAAGCAATTATGGCAGCAAATGTTAAAAAGTCCAATGGAAGTTATCTGTTTTTGAGTCAAATTAATTATTAAATTTTTCACTGTAACCGCTTACTCAGATAATTTCATTAGCAGCATTGGTAGCAAGTCCTTTGGAAGTTTTTGAATCAAATTAATCACCAATTTTTTCATTATAACTGTTTGCTAAGATAGTTCTGTTTGCAATATTGACAGCAGATGTTAAAACATATAAGCTGGAAGTGTTCTGTTTTTTAATCAAATTAATCACTACTTTTTTGTTTTCTCTGACACTGCTTACTGAGATAGTTTCATAAGTAACAATGGCAGCAAATGTTAAAAGATCCAATAGAAGTTAGTATCTGTTTTTGAATCAAATTAATTATTTAATTTTTCACTGTAACCGCTTACTCAGATAGTTTCATTAGCAGCATTGGCAGCAAATCCTTTGGAAGTTTTTGAATCAAAATAATCTCCTATTTTTTCACTATAACTGTTGCTGAGATAGTTCTATTTGCAATATTTACAGCAGATGTTAAAAGATACGCTGGAAGTGTTCTGTTTTTGAATCAAATTAATCACAACTTTTTTCTTCCACTGTCACTGCTTACTGAGATAGTTTCATAAGCAATAATGACGGCAACTGTTTAAAGATTCGTTGGAAGTTATTGAAATAATTCGATCTTCCATCCTGTGGAAGAAAATGTTTCCTTGTATTGAATCTGCTCAAGAACTCTTCTCAAAATGCCCTTTTCAATGTGGGTGGAAATATATTTTTGAAAAGAAATTGCCTCCGCTGCTTTTTTGTGTTCAAATCCATCCTTGGAGCAGTCGTGGCATCTGGTCACTTTTACATCGGATTTTATTGCGTTCGTCTTTGGCAAGATATATACGTCAATATCATCCGCCTGCGGAAATGAATTCTGGAGAAGAAAAAAAAAATGGAATCTTTAAGGCTCTGTGTTGGTGGGGGTCACCGTCTCGGGAACGAAGAAAAGGATGATGGGATTCCGACAGGCTTGTTTTCCGGAGCTTAAAGGAGTCCCCTCACATGATGTCTGTTCATTGTCCCAAAGCATTCTTTGGACTAAAAGAAGCTTTTCTTTTGTTCTGGTTCCTCGTTTATTACCGATAAAGATTCGGAAGTATTGTAGATACGACGAGATGTGTTTTTGGTTGGATAGAATTTATTGATTTTGGTGTTATGGTGTGTTAGAACTTTTTACAGCCGAATTCAACTTCTGCCGTTCAATTCTCCCGTTTTTCTATTGCTGCCGAAAATATTTAATTATCCCGTGAAATAAATTACTCATAGAGCTTAAAATTTTTTGTGGAAATATTGTTGGTAGGATTTCAATTTTATGCTCGATTCAATTTTTATATAATACTGACTTTATACGATTTAGAAGATTGAGTTTTTTACTTAACCCTGTTTTTTATGAGTCCCCCGATCCCGGGGCACTACGCGATTTTCTATTGTGATATCAACTATCCATAACATATGTTTCTTAGACTATTTGAATGCAATTTTTAGCAATAAGTAACTAGCAAATGTAAAATCATCATAAAAGTAAGCGAATTTGGATAAATAGAAGTGCTTGTTCGACAAATGCTCACGAACAGCAACTCCATAATAGAGAAATGCCTCTGACGACGTACAGTGACATTTCCTGCTAAGCTATTCATATTCATTATGATACACTACCTACCTTCCAGTTTTGTATCTGCCGTATTAAATCACCCTGTATGAATAGAAAATATGATCATGCTTGCGAAGGTAATTTTTTAACAAAATACGGTGTTTATGAAAAAATTGTATCTAATATGTGCAGTAAATATGTTCAATGTTTTATTGAATAACATAAGAAAAACATGTCCTTGTCATTAACCACTTCATTGGCCTTTGGCAGATGACTGGCTATCTACGTGATCTTATATCTGTAGGAAGCGTGAAACCCATTATAACTTATTGGCTTTGCTGTTAATACGATAACGGTAATTTCTGCTTCATTTTGTGCTGCCATCTATTGCTCAATTGATTCAATATAATTAGCACTTTTGTTTTGAAAGTTTTAAAGCCTTGTGTGAGATTTGATCTACTATGACACCTGTTTCGAGATGTCATTTGCAAAATAAGATGTTTTTTAAATGCTATTGTTCAATTATTAACAAAACATAAAAAACATTATTAACAAAACATAGAAATTCAAAAGAAAAATAAATGGCCTAGCAAAAAAATATATAAATTTTTTTTTTAATTAATACTAACCATTAAAATTTACATAAATCGATAAATTTCTTCTTTTACAAAGAGAACAATATATTAAACAAATTTTAAACCCCATAGTCGTTTTTTTTTTTCCTTCTTATTTTTCATTTGTTTTGAATGCAACAAAATTTGTGTTGTCTAGCAAAAAAGAAACAATAACTCATCGTCTTGTTCGACGGAAAAAATCGATAGTATCCCAAATTAATGAATGTTAGACGAAGAATTTTTACAGGCGATTAAAAGCCGTTTATCTATGGAAAAAAAAATTCTCAACAATTATAAAACCCATTTTGTGCTTCCTCATCGCATACTTTTTGATACATCCCAAAATGCTGAGTAGAAACACTTAACGTTTCTAGTATTCTTGGGTACTCAAAGCATTTCCCTTTGCCGCTTATATCTAATTTATTTTTAATTTAATCCAGTTTTTCTCCCCAAATTAGTAGTGAAACTATAGGCCTGAATGAATCCCCATAGAATATTTTTAATTACTTTGAGGTCCCCCTATCATTAAAATCGATTCACTCTTCTATTACGCGGCTTATTCAGGAATTTTAATTGCCATTTTGAGCCTAGAGATTAAAGATTGCCGCGGGTTTTAATGCTGAGAAAAAATAATAATTCCACGCCTTCGTGATTTCTAATGTACTAGGATTTTAATTTATTTTCTGAAAAGGTGAATATAATCTCGTTTATATTAATATTTTATCTGAAACTCTAGTAACATTGCATAATGGATTTTTTTTTCCTTTCAAGTGTTGATGTTTAAAATCGATCTGAAGCATTTGAAGTTGTGTTTTTATCTGTATACCTTCCATAAGCTGCCAAAAGTAAAGTGAGCAGATTTATATAAACCATGATTTGAGGACAGATCAGCAGAGCGTCTTCGAAAAATTTCTCGATTTGAAAACACTATATATTTATGGAAGATATTAACTTATCTTTGCAACTAAGATTTTTTTTAAAATTGATAACTAATATCAGGTGCAGAACCATCATCTTCAAATTTGATTTTGTTTTTAAGCAGTTTTGAAATATCATTTAATATTCTGTAAAATTAAAAATTATTTATAAATTTTTTAAATTATTTTAAGGCTAGTATTGCATTTTCATCTGTTAGTTTTAGTTTGGTTATTTACGTTAGTATTCACTATAAGACAAAACTATCTTTTTTTTTTTTAACATATCTCTATTTTTTTCCTTTGATATTTCATTTTATGTAAAAAAAAAACAAAAAAAAAACGCATGTTTTGGAAAAGAAACGAGAACATTTGAGGACACATTTTAAAATTTGGAAGCATTTTTTGGCATCAGAAAGTTTTAAAGGTTTTGAGGACAATCACTGAAATTAGGGTCACCTTAGGTCTGGTCACCTTAGCCAAAAGTGTAATATTTTTAGATACGACTAGAAATTTATAGTCCCTGAAATTTTGTTTTAGAAAATTTGATCAATTCTGGCACTTGTAAATTGGTGCTTGATAAGCTATAATTATTGACTTTAGATAGTAATTGATCAAGATTCAGATTGTTCAAAAGAAGGTAATTCGGTTATGTCAGATCAAAAATAAAATAAAACATGGGGAGTATTATTCTTAAAAAACTTTCTCCACACATATGTCATAAGTGATACGCCTTACGCTTTTCGTTTTTATCTGACAAAAACCAAATTAATTTCCTTTTTTTTCATACATTAAAAAAGCGTAGTTTTTAAAATCTTCATTTCATTTTATCACTTCTAATTACCTCATTGTTTTAAGTACAAGTCATTCATATCTTTCTTTTTATAGATATTTTCATATGATAATAATTTGAATTTTTTATTTCTTTTCAGAGCCTGCAAAATTAAAAGGTAGTCGAAGTATATACAATGTTACTTGGGGCTCCGTAGTTCGATTAGAATGTTCAGCTCAAGGAGAACCACCTCCTATCATCACGTGGTTTCAAGAGGGTGTCCCAGTAAGTTTTAGCTTCTTATCAAATTTAATTTTGCTTTTAATCATTTTTAAAATGAAAAATAAATAAAAGGATTTTCGTTAATTAACCATTTCTTAAGAAATCATGGTTAAAAGTAAATTCAGATCATACATTTATAGTGTTTTCTTTAACACTAAACATACCAACACTTAATATATACCTATTTCTACCATAGCCGGTCAATTGACCGGACTTCTTGTTTCTTGCTTGAATGTATGATGTTGGGAAGGAAATAAACAAAAAAAACTTTATTATAATTAAACAAAATTGTATATTGCCAATTTTTATGTATTACAAACACAAAGAATTATAATTTTTAATTCATTGCTCAACTCATTTTTTCCGTTGTACATTTTCCGGAAACATATTTTCCAGATTTAGAACAAATTTTGATGGTTTTATAGTCCTTACAATATCCTATTTGGCATGTCTGACGTTAATAAGAATCTATAAGCTACTTTCCAAAACTTTTAGTTTTTGTCACTTTTTCTTACACAAAAATATCAATCTTAAAATTTTAGATACTTGTTTGAAATTTGAATCCACAGTTATTCTGAATGAACTAATTACACAACAGTTTTCGCAGAAATGTGCAACTAATCGAATGCAATACGTTGAACATTCATTACATCACAATTTCTGATCCGATAACCTTGTAAAACAATAAATTGTTCTCCCGGTCAAATGACCGGTTGTGGTAGAAATAGGTATACGACAAGTGTTATTCGAAACAAATAAAATACAACAAAATAGTAATAGAATATTAACTGTATATAATTGTTAGAAAAAATCATGAAATCAAATGTGCAAAAGCGATAAGTTGATATGCTCATTTTCGATGCATAAGTTCTTAAACGGTCATTTGACCGGCTATGGTATGTTTAGTGTTAAGTAATAAGTGTTGCCCTGCACTTAGTGTTGGGCTAGTCACAAATTCTATGGACTAAACTGAAGTTGTAGAGCGTGCGTTCTCCGTAGTTTCTTCTGCAGCCTCCAGCTCTTGAATTACATAATATATTTAAATATTTAGTTTTATAGATTACGACATTTTGAACATTATTAGAATCTATTGAGCATTACCTGAATTAAAATGCTGCTGTGTTGCAGTTCTACCAGTCTTTCATAGTCTTGAATTATTGCCATTCTGACGCACTTTTCAGTATGAAAGTCCAACAATAGAAATTCTTCTGTTTTGTTCTTATTTTTGGCCATGACAAAATATTCCTAGAAATACGCTAACCCTGTTGCTATAGAGACTGCCACTCACCAGACACAGTGACGGTGACTTTTCTGAGAGGCAAACAGTACCTACTTTTTTTCCTCTGTCCAGCTCCTCTCAGCATTTCCTTTATGTTGCGGAGTTAATAATTTGTAGTTATCTGGGCATGCTAGTAACAGAGTCTCGGGATTGCTATTGGCATTGTGAAATTCTTATTATTGTTTTATGTATTCTGATATTTTACTGATACGCTGTTTTGTTGTATTTTTAGTAAGTGTACGTTTTCTTAAAATTGCTATTTTATATTCGTTTTTGCACCATTATAACAAATTGTTAGTGAATAAAAAAAAATGAAGAAAATGGAACATTTAAGGCAACGTGGGAGATTATTTCTTTAATTCTGTGAACGATAAAACGATGTTTTTACTGTGCAATACAGTATTGACTACTTTGAAGGGGAAAAAGTGGAATGCAAGTAAACACTATTTGACTCATAAGGAACATAAGTATTTAAATTTAAAAGTTGAATCTCGACAGTAGGTTTTATTGAAAATACATCTACTTGATTATTTTTTTATTTAAAGCCGTATTAAAGAAATATATGAAGTTGTTTATTAAAAGAAATTGTTAAAGATTAATTTTATAATAAGCTATTAGCCTTTTGTTTATGCAAAAATACTTTATTTTGTAAATTTTTGTTTAAATAAATGACTTAATTATTTTGCATTATTTCTATATGCATATTTAAAGCTATAATAATTTTTCTAAAGTCACATTTATTGGTATACCACCTTATACAGCTATGCTTTATCTCTGCCTAATTTAAATATGACCTCTCATAGTAAGAGTTCACCACCTATAGACTTAGCCGTAGATTGTTGTTTGTTTATTGTTATTTTATTGTTTTTTTCTGTTTTGTCGTTGTTTAGTCTACAGTTGTCTTTGTAATCTGCCATTAGAAATGATTAAAAAAACCTTTATGAAGTACCTTTTTTATGATACTATCATTTCATTTTAATTACGTTTTTGCGAATTTAACAAAATATCAAAATCTTTTCTCTCATGCAGTATATAGTACTGCTTAATTATTCATTTCGGCCTTATTATGTTGATTTTCGGGACTAATAATAGCAATTGTTATAAATAAAAAAAACTACTATAAAATAAAATTTGTTCACCGTTTCAATTAATATTCTGTTTCCGACCTTAGGTATTTAAGTGTTAAAGTAGTGTTTAGTTTGCATAAATTGATTGCTGTCTAAAGATTTAAGTAAACACGAGAGTTTCGTTTTAGCTAATTAATATGCTAATTGATTGTTAAGACCTTTGCTTCTAAATTAATTAAAGCTACTAGAAAAGTCTATATCTTAGTATATTTCCCCCTTGATATTTAGCTAAAATTTACCCTGCATTCCTTGTTTTTTTTTCCTCCCATTAAAAACAAAAGAACAACCATCCAATCATTAGTCTCAAAAGAAAAATGGTTTTCTAATAGTGCTACGTATAAAAGGGCTGGATTAAAATTTTAAAAAGGGATTTGCTGTGGATAAAAAGTATTGAGCAAGAGCTAGAACTTTATCTAATTATCTTGTGTTTTTTTAAAATATCACAAAGCATTTTATTCTTACATACAAGTTTTTTTTTAATATTTTTATATCTTGTTCAATTAAAGTGTTATGTCAAAAACTACCGTTGTGTAAAAACGTTAATATTTTTTCTGCGTTTCTTTTCTATTTGTGAGACGTTTTTATAACCTCTTACATTTTTTTGTAAAGGCTCAAAATATTTTTATTTTTTTATTATTTATGTTTTCTCTTTCTGATGTTTGTTTTTTCCTCGTAGTTTTATAAGCTTTTCGTTTTGATCGTTTGTTTGTTCCTGTACTGAAATATTTGTAATCTATTTAGTTATATTATTTAATAACAGATTATGTTTAAATAATAAAGAAAAATCTTTTCCGCTCTTCTGAGCCCTTACGGTTTGGGGGAAAAGTTATCTCCAAGATTATTTAGAATTTTGTTCTCAAAAATAAATTTTGAAAATTACGAATTTTCAGGCTTAAACAAAATATTTTTTTATGTCAACGTCGTCGTCCCAGCCCCAAAGTCTTATCTAAATTTTTGCTTATCGTAATTCAGGGTTATTTAGATCTATTTGTCTCAACTTTTGTATATCTCTCTCAGTTTAAAATTTCATGTAAAATTATAATATGCTTGTCCTGATTTCTGATTTTTTTTTAAAAATCTTTAACAATTACGTTTTTGGTTTATGACAGTTAGTACAATATTTTTTGCTTTCTTTAATACAAAAAAATAGCATTGTTTGTTTGTTTCGTGTTGCCCTTATAAGCAACGCTTTATAAACTAGGAAGGTCATCATCACTTTAAACCTGGGTTGAAGACTCGGGTTCGAATTATTTGTCCGATTTATTTGGATTTAGCTAATATTTTAATAAACAGGTTTTTTTTAAGGATTTTTTTCTTCTGGAAATCTTCATTTTCTGGCAAGTTTAACCATTTTTTTTAAAATATTTCTTTAAAAAAAGGAGAGGCAACCTTTATTTTTCTATTTGAGTAGTTTTCTCATAATTTAATATTATTATTGAAATTATCAATTCTGTATGATAAATTTTATTGCACGGAATACAAATTTAATATACTTAGAATCTGAAGGAGAAAAAAAAACGATTACAATTTTATCAAACTGAATATTTACCTTTCTCATGCTTAGGAGAAAATACATGAATTATAAATTTTGTAACATTTTAAATTTTTTTTAAAAATTTGAACATTTTGCTTATATATGTCCGATTAGCTGCGTAATTTATTCATGGGTGTCATTTCAATTTATTCCGTAGATTCATTCCCCATTCCAGGAAATACTCCTATTTTGGAATGATTGAAATTGAACTTCTGTGTTTCCCTTCCAGCTTAGTTGTAACCGCGGTTAAGAAACCTGTCAAAATATCTGAAATTTTGATCTCCTCAGCATGCGTGGATGGAAATATTTCGTGAAAGTTTCTACTCTCCCTTACCCCGGCCCAATCACCTCTAGCGAATCAAAAACAGGGAAGATGTCAAGAAAAGAACAAAAGAAAAGAAGAAGTATAAAAAAAAACGTTCCAGAAGGAAGCCCGGCATATTACAAGAAGCTTTTACTGCGGGGCTTGACATCCCCCGTAATTGAGGTTCGCTGCTATGCTCTGATCCACTCTGACAGGTGCACCTTTTTGGTTGCTAAGGTTACCTATTCACACGCCTGGAATGAACTGTTTTACCTACTACTGTCTTCGCTCTCGGCTTCCAACTAAAAATATTCCTTTTCTAAGAGAACTAAAAATATATTCGCATGAAACACTTATATTTTGTTGAAACATTGTTAATTGTGTAAAACATCGTGGCACCACAGTTAATCTGATTGACTTATGTTTTATCTTTATGTTACTCTTTTCGAATTTTCATGTATTCATCTCGAAATTATATTCATAAGAATTTGTACTAAAGTTACTAATTATTTATTTTGGATTGATTATACTGGCACCAAAAATATATTTGCATGAAACACTTATATTTTGTTGAAACATTGTTAATCGTATAAAACATCGTGGCACCACAGTTAATCTGATTGACTTACGTTTTATCTTAATGTGAATATTTTCGAATTTTCATGTATTCATCTCGAAATTATATTCATAAGAATTCTTACTAAAGTTACTAATTTATTTATTTTGGATTGATTGTACTGGCACCAAAAATATACTTGC